TTAATAATTCATGTCTCTTTATTCAGTCAATTCTCCACCAAGAATCGCAATATTATTACACCTTTGTATATCTTATTTCACGCGTCTCTCAGTCGACAGAGAGACACATTGTTTTCTTATATATAAAATATTACCAATAAATTACAATAAATCATATCATGTATCTGTATCACTGCGTACACTTTCTTATCGACCAGCAGTAACCCAGGAGCTTCTAACCGCTGGCAGAGAATCGCGTTTCCGAAGATAATCCTTAATATTAGGCAGTATGAAATAACAGCGAGCTTTCTACTAGATATCCTAGCTAAACATAGAGCTGTGTAGAGTTTCCAGATCTTTTTCCCTTTCTACCGCTCGCCGTTTCTCTTTTCTGTATATTTCGTAGTCTTCATCGTCCGTTGGCAGTTCGTACCGGCACAACGGACACGAATTGGTCTGCAAGTACAACATTGGAAACGTTAGAATGCGCAACAGGCTCTTTCTTGTGTAATCTAATTCGACCTTTTTACTCTGTACTGGCTTAGTTTACACCGTATGTCTTTTTGATACATGTGCGAGAACAGCACCCTCTATGCATTTCATTCGACTGTGTTTACGTCGAACGATCATAACGTTTACATGTGTTTTAAGTTTGCGAAAAGTACGGTAAAGTTAGATTCAAAAAACAAAGTATTATATTACATAAAAATGAATATGGAAAATGTTGTTGGTTCTCTCCTTACGGCGATATGCCTTAGTTTCTGTTCATCCATTATAAATAAGATTTGTTTTTCTACACGTGCGCTGAGAAATATTTTTGTTCAATTTAATTTCTTTTTGCATAGCACGATCCAACTCTTTGTACCTTTACCATGCTGAGGTATTTGAAATATTACAGGAACTAATCTTATAAAATATAAATATTAACAACATTGTTAACCGTTGACTGGAACCAAATCGATATATGAATATATTTACTTGATACGCATATCGGACTATATATAAACGGTGTAAACTACGCCACTATTTCGCAGTAGAGACCATACCTTTTCTAACCACGGTAGAATACACTCCGAATGAAATGCGTGACGACAGGGCATCGATATCGCTTTATTGCCAGCCTCAAAATCCTTCAAACAAACTGGACATTGTTTAGTCTCACCGGACCCGATCTGGATTTCCTCCAAATTGTTTACCGCACTTTTCGACGCGGGTGGCGGAAGTTTCTCATTTTCCCCGAGCAAGTCCCACATACCGAGATCCCGCAGGAATCGTGCCATTTGAATCAAGTGATTTGGCGCTTCTCCGTGAGCCAACGGCGTCCAGCCCATTTCCTCAAAATAGTCGGACATCTCGTCGAGGTTATGACGGACCTGCTTCGCGAGCAGAACAGCAGGCTCAATGCGTGTATAGCGTTTATTGTAACGCAAATTCACTCTTTTCTTTGATATTTGGAATCATAATTTTTGTTTAAAATATACTTCTTTTCCGTGAGTTGCTACAGCCTGTCACGCTCCGCAACAGTCAACACTTCTTCAAAAACTTCGAGTCATACCAGAGAAGAACGTGAGAGCGGCCAACACGGTGTTTTCGACGACACTGACCTTCCGGACAGGTAAAGGGCGCCATCTGCATCCATTTTGAGAGAGGAACTACGATGCTACATCCACTTTCAGGTTTCGGCGGTAAAACCTGTATGTGGTGGCAGTCCGTGCTACATCCACTTTTAGGCGGTTTATGTCCGTGCTATAATCATAATAGCGTACTTGACAAGCACGGTCTCGCACATTGTTACGCGTTTATAACATGAATTAACATGTTAACATGTGCAAAAAAAAGAATTGACATTGTGTATGATTAATATCATGAAGATTATACGAAGTGTCCGGTAATTAGCCGCCAACTCGAAGTGTGAGGGTAGATTGTGTTAAGACAAACATGAAAGTCCCATATCATTTTGCGAGATTCGCAATAATTATCGAGTTATTAATGACAGAAATCTGAGGAGTAAAAGCGCGCCGACATAGATGATTCGAAAAGCGTTGCAGCCGCTCGGGGCAGCGATTATGAATCTTTTCCCTAGTGTGAACTAATAAAAAGTGAAAGACTTCTGTGAATCAGTGTAAAATGAAAAATTTTATATGAATTTGTGAAAATCGAAACATTTCACACGACAACTGAGTCGTTCAACATGGCAGTTGCGCGTTCTGGATAATTCAGTGAATACCAAAGAAATCAAAATGATCAAAATAATAATTTACTTTCTCCGTTGATATCTCCGCTTCTACTGGGAGTAGAGAGTCGTCCATGTAGTCGAAAATGTAGGGTTTTGAGAGGACTTTATTTTGGTACCAGAGCCAGGCCTGTATCTCTAACCGTTTAGGAGATATCGAAAATTAAAGTTTTCCAACCTTTCTCCGTTGATATCTCCGCTTCTACTGGGAGTAGAGAGTCGCCATTTACGGCAAACTGTAGAGTTTTGAGAGGACTTTAATTTGGTGCGAGAACCAGGCCAGTATCTCTAACCGTTTAGGAGATATCGAAGGTTAAAGTTTTCCAGCCATTCTCCGTCGATATCCAGCCTTCCTCCGTCGATATCTCCGCTCCTGCTGGGAGTAGAGAGTCGTCCATGTAGTCGAAAATGTAGGGTTTTGAGAGGACATTAATTTGGTACCAGAGCCAGGCCTGTATCTCTAACCGTTTAGGAGATTTCGAAGATTAAAGTTTTCCAACATTTCTCCGTTGATATTTCCGCTTCTACTGGGAGTAGAGAGTCGCCATTTACGGCAAAATGTAGGGTTTTGAAAGGACTTTAATTTGGTACCAGAGCCAGGCATGTATCTCTAACCGTTTAGGAGATATCGAAGGTTAAAGTTTTCCAACCTTTCTCCGTCGATATCTCCGCTTCTACTGGGAGTAGAGAGTCGTTCATGTAGTGCAAAATGTAGGGTTTTGAAAGGGCTTTAATTTGGTACCTGTCCGAAGCCTGTATCTCTAACCGTTTAGGAGATATCGAAGGTTAAAGTTTTCCAACCTTTCTCCGTCGATATCCAGTCTTCATCCGTCGATATCTCCGCTTCTACTGGGAGTAGAGAGTCGTCCATGTAGTGCAAAATGTAGGGTTTTGAAAGGGCTTTAATTTGGTACCTGTCAGAAGCCTGTATCTCTAACCGTTTAGGAGATATCGAAGGTTAAAGATTTCCAACCTTTCTCCGTCGATATCCAGCCTTCATCCGTCGATATCTCCGCGTCTACTGGGAGTAGAGGGTCGTCCATGTAGTCCAAAACGTAGGGTTTTGAAAGGTCTTTAATTTGATACCTGTCCGAAGCCTGTATCTCTAACCGTTTAGGAGATATCGAAGGTTAAAGTTTTCCAACCTTTCTCCGTCGATATCCAGCCTTCATCCGTCGATATCTCCGCTTCTACTGGGAGTAGAGGGACGTCCATGTAGTCCAAAATGTAGGGTTTTGAAAGGGCTTTAATTTGGTACCTGTCCGAAGCCTGTATCTCTAACCGTTTAGGAGATATCGAAGGTTAAAGTTTTCCAACCTTTCTCCGTCGATATCTCCGCTTCTACTGGGAGTAGAGAGTCGTCCATGTAGTCCAAAATGTAGGGTTTTGAAAGGGCTTTAATTTGGTACCTGTCCGAAGCCTGTATCTCTAACCGTTTAGGAGATATCGAAGGTTAAAGTTTTCCAACCTTTCTACGTCGATATCTCCGCTTCCACTGGGAGTAGAGAGTCGTCCATGTAGTCCAAAATGTAGGGTTTTGAAAGGGCTTTAATTTGGTACCTGTCCGAAGCCTGTATCTCTAACCGTTTAGGAGATATCGAAGGTTAAAGTTTTCCAACCTTTCTCCGTCGATATCCAGCCTTCATCCGTCGATATCTCCGCTTCTACTGGGAGTAGAGAGTCGTCCATGTAGTCCAAAATGTAGGCTTTTGAAAGGGCTTTAATTTGGTACCAGTCCGAAGCCTGTATCTCTAACCGTTTAGGAGATATCGAAGGTTAAAGTTTTCCAAACTTTCTCCGTCGATATCCAGCCTTCATCCGTCGATAACTCCGCTTCTACTGGGAATAGAGAGTCGTCCATGTAGTCCAAAATGTAGGGTTTTGAAAGGGCTTTCATTTGGTACCAGTCCGAAGCCTGTATCTCTAACAGTTTAGGAGATATCGAATGTTAAAGTTTTCCAACCTTTCTCCGTCGATATCTCCGCTTCCACTGGGAGTTGAGAGTCGTCCATGTAGTCCAAAATGTAGGGTTTTGAAAGGGCTTTAATTTGGTACCAGTCCGAAGCCTGTGTCTCTAGCCGTTTAGGAGATATCGAAGGTTAAAGTTTTCCAACCTTTCGTTGATATCTCCGGTTCTACTGGGAGTAGAGAGTCGTCATTTATGGCAAAATGTAGGGTTTTGAGAGGACTTTATTTTGGTGCCAGAAACATGCCTGTATCTCTAACCGTTTAAGATATATCGAAGGTTAAAGTTTTCCAGCCTTTCGTTGATATCTCCGCTTCTACTGGGAGTAGAGATTCGTCATTTGCGGCAAAATGTAGGGTTTTGAGAGGACTTTATTTTGGTGCCAGAAACAGGCCTGTATCTCTAGCCGTTTAGGAGATATCGAAGGTTAAAATTTTCCAACCTTTTACCGTTGATATCTCTGCTTCTACTAGTAGTTGAAAGTCGTAATTTACGGGAAAATGTAGGGTTTTGAGAGGACTATATTTTGGTGCAAGAAACAGGCCTGTATCTCTAGCCGTTTAGGAGATATCGAATGTTAAATTTTTCCAACTTTTTCCGTTCCAACAAATTAACTTGAATAAACGTATGATTAGTATCAATTTTTCTTCTCTTATAAAGAAATGAAAGAATAAATCAGTACCGAAAATTGAAGACCGATCAATATTTAATTGTATGTATACTTTGTTGATTCCCCTGGCGGGGTTACAAATTTCAATACAACTTCTCCTTACTTCCTATTACGCTCGCCCCTATCCTCTTGCACACGCACACACACACACACACACACACACACACACACACTCCCATCCCCTGCCCCTCCTTATAACTACTTTACAAATATCTTATATCTACTCGCTCGCTTATCTCTTATAATTAATTGTTCGCTTGTCATCTATTCTTATACATATGTATATATATATATTTCTATGCCGCTGTTACTCCTATAATTCTTATATCCTAACGCCGATTTTCGCTTTCCTCCATTCATTACATTCCTTCACAGTTTCTCCCTCGCTCTCTCTCTCTCTCATCCTTTTAATCCTCTTCGTCCTCCCTCTCGCCCCCTCCTTTCCTTCACCTCTCTCATCCCCCTCTCCCTCCACCCTCCTAGCAGCCTTTCTACCACCTATCCCCATCCCTCTCCCTCTCCCCCCATCCCATAAACGAACGACCCGTCCACGATCAATATTTAATTTATTCAGCAAATTAACGCGGATAAATGAACGATTCGTATCAATTTTTTCTTTTCTTATACAGAAATGAAAGAGTAAAACAGTATCGAAAATTGAATATTGATTAATACCATAAATCAGTGTCAGAAAATTGTTTAAGTGCAATGACAATTTGTTCTTATTTTTCACGTACTTACCCCTCTAATTTAATCAACAAATTAACTCTGCTAACGAACGGTCCGTATCAATTTTTCTTTTCTTATAAAGAAATGAGAGAATAAATCAGTACCGAAAACCGAAGACTTATAAATACGTAATTTTTCCATCAAATTAACGCGGATAAATGAACGATTCGTATTAATTTTCTGTTTTCTTATAGCGAAATGAAAGAGTAAATCAGTACCGAAAATCGAATATCGATTAATACCGTAAATCAGTGTCAGAGAATTGTCCAAGTGCAATGACAATTTGTTCTTATTTTTCAGGTACTTACCCCTTTAATTTAATTAACAAATTAACTGTGTTAAACGCACGATCCGTATCAATTTTTCTTTTCTTATAAAGAAATGAGATTATAAATCAGTATCGAAAACCGAAGACCGATCAATACGTAATTTTTCCATCAAATTAACGCGGATAAATGAACGATTCGTATTAATTTTCTGTTTTCTTATAGAGAAATGAAAGAGTAAATCAGTACCGAAAACCGAATATCGATTAATACCGTAAATCAGTGTCAGAGAATTGTCCAAGTGCAATGACAATTTGTTTCTTATTTTCAGGTACTTACCCCTTTTAATTTACTTAACAAATTAACTGTGTTAAACGCACGATCCGTATCAATTTTTCTTTCTTATAAAGAAAATGAGAGTATAAATCAGTACGAAAACCGAAGACCGATCAATACGTAATTTTCCATCAAATTAACGCGGATAAATGAACGATTCGTATTAATTTTCTGTTTTTCTTATAGAGAAATGAAGAGTAAATCAGTACCGAAAATCGAATATCGATTATACCGTAAATCAGTGTCAGAAGAATTGTCCAAGTGCAATGACAATTTGTTCTTTTTTTTCAGGTACTTACCCCTTTAATTTACTTAACAAATTAACGTGTTAAACGCACGATCCGTATCAATTTTTCTTTTCT